GGGCGGTATTTAACAACACCCAAATTTTATGGAAAAAATCTTTTTCACCACAATACAAAGATACATTAAATTTTTCACACCGCCCACTAACAATCTAACTTTTTCACTCCGAAAAGTGCAAAAGTTATGCGAATGAATGCATAACTGTCTCATATCAATTGCATAACTGTCGCATATTCATCGCGCAATGCCTTTGCACTTTAACTTTTTCTACCCCACAAAGTGCGAAGGGATATGCGAATACCTTCGCACTTTTAACTTTAGCACAATGTCATCGCGCAACTGTCACATATTCATCGCACAATGTCTTTCGCACTTTTCTGGGGTGAAAAAGTTAATTTATTTACGGTCGATGTGAAAAACTTAATACATTTCTATAGTGGGGTGAAAAAGACTATTTTCACAAAAATTTATGCAGTCATCGAATAGTTTTTTTATAGTGTCGTCTACCATTTAATGTATTGACACATGTCCAAAGTGTATTTATTGTAGAACACGTGTCAATACACTATTGATGAATAAGTATAGATGACTATAAATCAAGTCAGTCGATACTCCATAGCAAAACTATGACTTATTATTATAATTAAAAAAAGTCAACACAATCCTCTACGATGGCATGTATATCATATTTTTGTAGCGTGCTATGCCACGGGATTTCACGATTTGTGGATTATTACATATTTCATGATAAATTGTATGAATCAAATAATTTGGTGACATTAATATTATATAGTAGTAAATTTAAATTTATATCATTCATGATATTAAATATTCAACATTTGATTTTATGTTTACATTAAGTACATATTACTTAGGTCACATAATTTTATAATATTTAATTACCTATTTTGATTAATAATAAAATAGTTTAGTCTATTTTAATTTGTATAAAATGTATGTATTTTACCACTTATGAATATATTGATTGGTCTTCTCGAGTCTGAACTTCACAAACACTAATAGATATAACAGTGTTAGTTTATTATTGCGGGGAAATGCTACGGTCCCGTTACAGAATTATTCTGTTGGAGTTCGTAATGGTTAAATCAACTATCCCTGACGGTTACATGATGATCTAACGGTTACAAACCTCGACGGAATGGTTCCCTAACGGGGCTGTAGCATCGTCCTATTATTGCGTATCATATTTATTTCTCTTTAATATCTATCGAAAGGAGTCTCTTTTTTCTTTTTCTTTTTTATCTTTTCCAACGAAATGAAATGAGTCGGACGGGATTCTCTCGCTTGAGAGTAGGGCTAAATTCTCTCGGTGGGAGACGATATTCCTTTGGTGAAGGGGTTTTTTCTTTTCTTTCGTTTCTCTTCAAAGTGAGATCAGTTATCTGAGGTAGGGTGTTCTCAATTTCTCTGTTGGTGTTTATTATTGGAGGTGTTCAATGGCGGTGTTGTGGGAAGAGGGAGATGAGGTGGTTCGTATTTTTACAAATTTTCTCTATCTGAAAAGGAGTCTGGTGGTGTTGAAATTCTCAAAAAGGACATTCTTTATAGCGAGGAGGAATGTGGTCGAAGTTTGTTTGGCAAGGTTATCAGAGACAGACGAGATACTCTGCTAGGGATTAAGCGGACAATGAGCTCTATTTGGAGGATTAACCAGAGAATGGAGGTTCGAGAATTGGAGTCAAACTTTTTCCAATTCATATTCAGTTCGGGAGAACACAAGAGGAAAGTGGGTGCAGGTCATAACTAGACCTTTGAGAATCAATATCTTTTCCTTCATGAATGGATCCCGGGGATGTGTAGTGTCCAAATCTGCTTTGATTTCATTATATTATGGGTTCATGTTAAAAATTTCCCCTTCAATTGGATGAGCAATGATGTAGGCCTGAAAATCTGAGGAGTTTCTGCAGGAGTGAAGAATGTCTCAGTATGCAAAGTTGGAGGGGAAACTGGTAGCTACATTAAATTGCTAGCTTCCATTGATATTAAAGAGCCTATTCCAAGATGTACATTTGTGAAGCTGGACAATCAGAGAATAATGGTCTACATCTGGTATGAAAAACTGGTGAATCTATGCTACTATTGTGGCCATATTGGGCATGTGGATAGAAATTGCAGCATGCGGTTGAGGGATATTAAGAGTAAAAATCTTCAAGAGGGGCAATATGGGGAGTGGCTGAAAGTTGGGGAGAACATATATGGGAGCAAGTACTCTTGTAAGAGTGACTTAGCACAGAAGGAGAGAGAGGAACCACTACCCACATCCAATAATGAGTCATATGCCACTACTAGCACTGCAAGGCACCCTCACCCAACAGAGGTCCCAAATGCCAGAAATGGAGGGGACACTCCACTGATGGACACCCCTAAGGAAGGTAGCTCTCCAAAAACTTTGGATATTGTGTCTTCTCCAGGCAATGAGGAGGGGAAAGGGGATTCAGTCGAGGAATCAGAGGAAGTTATGGAAGTTCAAAACACACTGCAATCACAGATGGTACTTTTTCAGAAACTTTTATGACTGATGATGATGTTGAACAAGGGGGAGTGGGAAGAAAGACTTAGAGGAGATCATCTACTAGAATTGGAAGAGTTACTAGAGCCTCTGCTGCTGATATCACTACTCTCTGTGTGGTTAGGGGCGAAAGAGATAGGGAGAAGGGTTACAATCTTTTAAACCCTGAGATAGTATGGGGGAGGAGAAATCAGATAAGAAGGCAAAAACATCCTATGGAAAGGTGGAGAAGGCCAACCTAAAGTGGCCCTGAGGTGATCAATGAAAGCTATGGTGTAGAATTATAGAGGGCTGGGTGGGCCCTGTACAGTTTCCCAGATTAAAGTCTCAAGAAAAGTCCACCACCCAAACTTAATTTTCCTTTCAGAAACTAAGAAGTCTGTTGAGTTCACTAAGACTGTATGTAGAAAGCTAGGGGTTGAAGACATATGGCATTTGGTGCAGCCTAGAGGGACCAGAAGGGGGTTGTTACTTATGTAAGATGTGGATACTGAAATCTGGCAGGTTATTGGGAATGATTTTTGTATTCAAGTGTAAGTGAAATGGCAAGAAGATAAGGATTTGATGTGGCTGACATTTTTTTACATGAGTTCTGATAAAAATGAGAGGTTAGATCCGTTGAAATTCCTGGTATCAGCCATGAGGTAGTGGGGTGAGGTGTGGGCTATAGCTGGTGAGTGGAACGATCTGTGTAGCAATGAAGAAAAAAGGGAAGGTAGAGTTAGAATTGAGAGATCTTTCATTAGATTCAGGGAGTTCATCCATAATATGGGGATGCAGGAGGTGAATAAAGGTGGATCTTTTTTTTACATGGGGCAATAACAAGGCTGAGGAGGGATATGTGGAGGAAAGGCTGGACAAAATTTCTGTCTCAGTAGGATGGCAAATTCATTTTCCTAAGACCAAGGTCCAACTTTTTTTGCAGTTCTTCAGATCATAATGTCCTTTTCTTTAAAACTGCTAAGCAGAGAGGCAAAAGAAAACATAGATTCCAATTCAACAGTGGCTGGATCAAGCTTGAAGGCATTGAAACTGCAGTGGAGGATGGATGGGGAGTTCAGGGGAATGGCACTCCTATGTTCATGTTGAAAGAGAAAATAATTAAAAAATACTAGAATGGCTTTATTAGCCTGGCATAAACCGATCAAAAAATATTAGCCTGGCATAAACCGTAAATAATGTTGTGTTTTTTTTTTATTTACTGTACGCTCGACTTTTGGTTGAATTGTTTTTTTTATTTCATGTACGTTCCACTTTGGTTGAATTGTTTTTTTTTTTTCTGTACGCTCCACTTTTGGTTGAATTATTTTTTTTATATGTCATTACTCATTCACATTATGTTTTTATATTTCCGATATGCTATACTATATTATAAATAAAAAAATACACCACAATCAACGTATACGTACTCAAATTTATAGTCAATGACATACATAAGTTCAAACTAACGTATAATGACAACCGAATATTATAAGAATATCAAAACCTAGGTGTATCACGAATCCTGATCCACGCAGCTATTCTACTACTGTAGTAATCCTCCCAACCGTCAACCGACTGATCTCGAAGTGTCGTCCAATAAGGGAATATAGGCGGTATTGGATGGCCGGGAGTGAAATTAACACGAATGTAGTGTGGGTAACAACCAAGATGACACAAAACGATCTCGCGCTCCGGTCGTGTAGCCGTCGATGGTGCGACGAGAAGCAGTACAGTAGCACTATAAAATTTGGGATTGTTACCATGCTCACCCATGCCTAACATGACGACAACTGCATTAAAAAATGTGGCAACGGGAAAGAGGTCGCACATAGTTTCCATCCAGTGATTACAGCCACAAGGGCCCCCGTCCCACCGTATTCGATTGAGTGTTGCATCGATCCCGTCAAAGAATATGGGCTCGTACCTCAAATGTTCCCTGCAATCTCATTTGCAATAATTTTTCTTGCCAACCGGTACTTCTCCTGATCACCAAAAATATAGCTCTTAATTACCCGAAATCCGCAGTTCCTATCATCGGACACATCCAAGTAGCTCTCTACGTAGTCGTGCACAATGTAGGGAATGCTATTCCAGTACCGGTAACTGGAGAAGTCTGTCGAGAACATCTCTATAATATCACAAAATTTCACGTCAGAATATATATAATCGAATTTATGCACATAATTAGATGAAGTTATTAAAACACAAAAAAAATAAATTAGAATTTAATCTGTCGGTCCTTCTGAACGCTGAGAAGATGAGCTTGTTGGTGCTTGTGATGAAGTGCTTTTACGGCCCACCGGACGACCTCTTTCCCGGTACTCCCAGACACATGGATCACGCTTCGTTGAATTTCTCTTTTTCGATCGACCTCGCGTGTTTTCCTTCACTTCAGGTTCTCCGTAACCTTGTTGGTCATGGTGAAGTTGAGAGTAGATGTACTGATTTAGATGACGCACGATCGCAGGATTGGCCATTTCAACCTCATCCGCAAGACTCCGAAAATACGACAGGTATGTCCACCCAACCGTCGATGCCCGTGCACCACTCGTGGATGGTCGTGAACTACTCGTGGATGGTCGTGCACTACTCTGGTAATCTGTTCGTACAACCAAACTTAAAACATTAAACATCATAATATATATATAAATTATATAGAAAAAAACAACACGTAAAGTATAAAAAAAAAAAATAAAAGAAAAAAAAACATTCAATTTAATATCGCAATTATACCTGGCACCTCAAGTGTTACCCAGAACTCGTGAATGTCGTCCGTGGTAATCATGGCATTAACATTGCACGTCATACTCATGTAACAGGCACAAGGAATTCCATGCGTCCATCTGAGTACGCACCCGTAGCGCGTCGTAACCTCGACGCTCAAGTCTCGCATCCTCTTATACTCTTCATTCAATAACTCCAAACAATAATGCGAGACCCTCAGTGTTAGCTGGGAGAACGGAAATCCGGTGTATTGGTAACTTCGTCTGTTCCTTGAGTCCTCCAGCGTGGTCCTGATAATAGATTACATGAGTGAATTTATAATTAATACATTAATAGCACAGTAAATATGTGTAGCTTAATAAGTTAACGTACCTGATTTGAGTGTGTTGAGACTCAATCTCCTTGTGAGCCTTCTCCCACACTGTGTCGAGCGAACCGGTGGACGTGTTAAGCCACTGCTTCAACTCATTGTGGAAACTCTCCACCCTACACGACGTGGTGTTACCCAAATACAGGAAGTTGTTCGTCCACGCTTTGACAAATTTTTCCTTTTGGACTAACCACGTATGCTCTATATACTGTGTAACAAGAGGGAACGCCTTGTACCGATGCTTCATGTCCTTCACGGCAGAGTCGTACTCGACCACCGTGCTCGCTTCCAGGATCTTCTTCCACCTGCCGCTCGTGAACTTCTCGGCGAATTCTTTATTATTCTGGGAGAGTTTATAGACCTTGTGTTCCACATCCTTGTTGATGTGCCACGTGTAAAGAAGGTGGGCAGACAATGGAAATTAATCATAATAGGATTAATCAACCCCAACTCCCTGTCACTGACAATGACTGAAGGATGTACATCAGGCCCAATCAGATCTCTCAACCGCTTCAGAACCCAGTCATAGCTGTTCTGGCTCTCGTCCTTCAGAATTGCATATGCAATCAAGAAGTTCTTGTTGAACAGCGTCATCCCTATTATTTCCACCAACGACATCTTGTACCTGTGCAACTGAGGGCAACAAAAACAAACAAAGAATAAAAAAAGTACTTACTCAGACATAATAATTAAGATTCATACTAAATTGTTATTTATAAAGTAACATACCTGTTGGTTTTGTACGTCGAATCTATACCGACGTGCCAATAATAGGTCCAAAAGAGAAGGGATGCCTGAAGATGCGACATGAACACACGTGTCAAGGTGTGTGTGTCCTTATCAGAATCACTGAAAACTATGTAATTAGCTCGGCTAGCCATATGCATAAGCTGGGAAGTCACATCTCTGCCCTCGAAACTCTCTGATCGGAGTTGAGCCCTATAGTTGTAAATCTGTTGACGAGTCGCGTTGTCAGACGGGTTTTTATCCTGTATCGCTGCCAATATTATCGTCGGTCTTGCCTGGGCAGCTGTCATGTCACGAACGATCTGCCTCGACTTTTCACTCAGTCCGCTGAACTGTCGATGACCCTCGGGATACAAAGCCATCGGATGATTATGCTATCCCTTCTGATCATCCTGAGGAAAACATACACTCCAGGAATCTTTCGTACCGGCCACTTTTTTCAATCTCATCTCAAACAGGCATCCGGTATATTTTGTTTTCGAACGTCTCAGGACAACATTAACAAGATTGGATATTGGGTAAAATACTTTTTCCCATCCGAACTATCACTGTTTTGGCGCATCACCATATAAACTATTTTTTGTTACAAACCACCATATGAACTATACGGGTTTGTCAATGTGCTCCCTAAACCAGATATAAAAGTGGTTTTGACTGAAAAAGTTGTTTGGTCACTATATGTGCCCCCTAAATACTTTTACAAACCACCATATGAACTATCACGGATTTGTCAATGTGCCCCCTAAACCACTTTTATATCCGGTTTAGGGGGCACATTGACAAACCCGTATAGTTCATATGGTGGTTTGTAAAAAAAAATAGTTTATATGGTGATGCGCCAAAACCGTGATAGTTTGGATGGGAAAAAGTATTTTACCCTTGGATATTTTATTACCTCAATAACGTTCTCCTCGGTTACACCTCAGAATCCTCAATGTTCCTCCCTTTGTGTGCTTTGAAATAATTGGTTCAAAACCACATATAGTTGCCATACCGACTGCATACGTAACAGCTTTTTGAAAACTATCAAATACCTCATCTGTTCTGAAATAAGGCCAATAATGAATATTATCTCCTCCAAAATCCTCAACTAGCGCCTGCAATATATTAAAATGTATGTTACCAATTTTAAAACATAATCAATTATAAGTAACCATTAAGAAATAGTAATTTATATTAATAA